TAGTTTTTGAGCTGTAGACTAGACCAATATCATCCACATAACTTGGAGATCGCACTATTCTCATATTTCTATTTTTGAATAGATATGCAGTGTATATTGCAAATAAAATGAGTGAGATTGGAGACCTCTGTGATACTTCTATTTTTATCTCAGTCTTGTCTTGTTTCATTTCATCAAAGAAGAGTTGTATAATTCTTTTAGATATAAAACAGTTAACTCATTTTATTAGAGAAAGTGGCAGTTTTAATATCTTCAATGTCTGAATTAACTTTGACTTTGAAACATGATTAAATGCTTCTTTTATATCAATAAAAACTGCAGTTGAGACCAGACCCTCATGCTTTGCTATTTGAATATCATGAACAACTGAGAGAACAGTGTTAATTGCAGAACACTGTTTTCTATCTCTCATTTGTTCACTGAATAAAAGAGAATCATCTATAGAGCTTATAAAAGATAGTCAAGTAGCTATTATCTTTTCTAAAATCTTTTCTAAACAGTTCAATAGAGATATTACTCTATATGACTTAGGAATTGAAGTTTTTCTATTAGGTTTTGCAAGAATCACTCCAGTGGCTTCTCTCCAGCATTCAGAATGATATTCATTTTTCAAGAGATTGAAAAAGAGCTCAAAATATTCATTCTTTAAGTAGGAATATGTATTTTGAATAATCAAGTGATTAATTGAATCAGGACCTGCAGCAGTTTTAACAGAACTTGAGAAGATAGCTGACTCTAATTCATCTTGTGTAAGATCAGGCCATTCCCAGTCATTTTCATCAATGTAGTTGAGAAGTGATATATTCTCTTCCTCTGAATCTGAATCTGAATCTGGTGAGTTCTGAAAGAGAATTCTCATGAAAGCTTAACATTTTTCCTCAAAAAAGTTTGCTGTATATGATTCATTCTGAAACTCATATTCTAGAGCTGAAAGTTTTGCTACACTTCTTGTTTTAGTATAGTTAAAAGCTTTAAAAACTTCCTTTCCTTGTGCTTCTTCAAGAAATTTATTCCAGCAGTCTGTTTTAGCTCTTTTAATATCTGAAAAATATTCATTTCTGACAGTTTTGAACTCTTCATCAGATATTACATCATTCTTTCAATCTCTTCTAACAGTAGCTAATTCTTTTCTTTTAGATGAGATATTCTCATTTCATCAAGGTTTTGAATACTCAGAAGATTTTCTTTTTGAAATATTATCTCTAACACTTGTTAGAATGATAGATGTAATAAGCTTCACTCTATTCTCAAGCATTTCATTTGAGATATCTTGACCAGAATTCCAATATAGCTCATTCTGTCTTTCAGATTTTAACAGTTTTATGCTTTCTTCAACTGCTTTTCAATCAGCTTTTTCAAAGTTATACTGATTAGAGAGAAGAGGATTTTCACTCATTTATTTTTCACTCAGTTTAATATCAAATTGAATAATCTCATGACCTGATCCTGATGTCTCATTTGAATCAATAAACCAGTTTACAAGTCTTCTTTTCATTAGATTTTGTGATATGAATGTTAGATCTATAATAGACTTCTGTTTCATGCCTTTTCTAAAGAATGTTTGTTGATCAGACTTATTAACCAAATCTATTGAATGCTCAAAGATTCATTCAATCAGATTATCAGCTCTCACTGCTCTCTTGCATTCTGAATTTCATCAGAGATGATATGCATTGAAATCTCCTGCAATTATAGAGTTTCTTGATAAAGTTATGTTCAGAAATCCTCTATCAATTGTTCAGATATTGTTATTTTTCTTCAATGACTTTTCATTATAGATATTTATGAGCTGTATAGTATCAAACTCATTTTCTTTATCTATAATATCACTCACCAGAATATCAGGGTCAGACATGATATCAAATCTTAAATTAAATTAATATCTTGATCTCTTTCTTTCATAGATCACTACTCTTGACTTTATCTCAGACTTTTGAGGTAAAAAGCAGTAGTAGCTTGAATGAGAAATGACATATTTTTGCTCAGCATCAAAATTCGGCTCCTGAAGCAGTATAAAATTAACTTTTTGTTCAAATGCAATTTGAAGACAAGAATAAATGCAATTTGAGTTTCTATTCACATTATTTTGAATAAATGTGATTTTTGAAGAGTTTTTAAACTTTTTTTGTTGTTTTTGTTGTATATTCATACTAAAAGAGAGTAGAGAAGAATCTAATCACTATCATCAGATAGTAGATTATAACTGTTCTGAAAAGTAGAAATCTCAACTGCTTGCATTATATCTAGTTTATCATCAGAGTCATTTCTCAATTCTCTAATCTTAACAGGAGTTTGAGGATTCAAATTCTGTTTATATTTTACTGAAGAATTGAAGTTTGAAGACTTAGATAATTGAGAGTTTCTTCTTTTTGAGCTTGCAGTTGTGAGTTTACTGGCTTGACTCTTCTCTTCAGTTCTAGATTGACTTTGAGCTTCATCTTTTCTCCAGTTCTTTTGAGTTCTAGGAGTAAACATACATTCTTTAGAGCTAGATGCATGTTTTTCTTTGTAATTAGAGCACTTAAGCAGAGTATATTAACAAATTTCATCTCTTTTTGAGCATGTTTCACATTTATGCTCACTAGTTTTATAATCTCTGGCACAGAATGCACATTTTGAGTCTCTAAAATATGAGATTGCAAAGTGTTCATATCTTTGACAGTTTGAACACTGTGTTTGAGCTTTGAGATTCATTCTTGAGTCTTTGTATTCATGAACTCTCATTTTCAAACCTGCTACTCTTACTTCAGAGATCTTTGACTGTTCAAGTGTTTTTATATATACTAGAACAGAGGCATTTCTCCTGCTTTATCTAAACTCAATTGAATTTAGTCATACAGGCTTCTTTCTCAGTTGAATGAAGTTGTATTCTTTCAATTCATTTTTGAGAAGTAGCATTTCTTCTTCACAGTCAAAAATTTCAACTGGAATATCATGAAGAATGAATTTGTCTCACTTTTCATCTCTTTCAGATAGAATTGTTGTGTTTAGCAATGATTCTACTGCTGACTTTCAGAGATTCTCATTCTGAATAAGGAATTCAGCACTGAATTCAGGCATTGTAGTCAGAATAATAGAGTTTTCAAAGAATGATAGCTCAATTGAAGCTATAACTGATTTTTGAACTTCAATATCAGTCATCAACTGAGAAAAGAACTGCTGATTAATTTCATTTCTGATTCTGAAAATGAGATTTGAGTTTAGCTTGTTTCTTTGCAGAATGTCCTGATTTGAGACTTTGAAAATGAGTCTTCTATTTCTAGAGATTTGGAAGTTTTTCTCTTTTTACATTTTCTTTTTCACTTTTCTATGAATAGAGGCATGAGCAGTATTCTTCTCAGTTTTCTCAGAATTTTGAGCAGGTTTTGAGATAGCAGGTTTAGAGATAGCAGATTCAGCTGCTTGAGCATATGTTTTCTTCTGATTCAAAGAAGAAGAAGAAGTAGAAAGAAAGAAAGAAGAAGAGTAAGATGAAGAGTCAGTGATTGTACTAGGAATTTTCAAGGTTTTTTGAACTGTGTTTGAGATTCCAAGTTTGAACTTGATCATCTCCTGTAGTTGTCTGGCCTGAGTATGAAGAATTAACAGAACTTCTTCATTCATCTCACTCAGACACTGCTTTTCAAGAATCTTGCTTACTTTTTCAAGTTCCTGTATTTCAAGAACTTGTTGTTTCTCTATTTCTTCTTTCTTTCTTCTCTTCAGAATTTCAATCTCAGGAATAGCATTTGAGAAAGCATCTTTTTCCACATCAACTGAGTGTATTTTTGAACTCATTGTTTTTACTCAATGAAAAGTTGATCAGACTGTTTCAATTGAGATATTTCTAAGTCTGTTTTCAATTGAAAAGTTGGTCAGACTGTTTCAAAAGAAGAATAAAAGACTTTTATGTATAAAACACCTGATTTTTTTCACACTAGTTCAGTAACTAGGTTAGATTTTTGAAGAGAATCTAATAAACTAAAATTGATTTTTAAGATAAATCAATAAAATCTTTACAATCTCTTTCTTGGGATACAGTGAGAAAAAGTATGATATCAATTAATAATAAATCAGATAATATAACAGTTTTTGAGAGAAAAACTGACAAAAAATAAATCAATTTTTTGCAGAGAAATTGATTAAAACTATTCAATTTTATTCTAAATCATCCAATTCTTCTCACACAACAAGTGTGCAACTCAAATCAGTTAATAAAGAGTGTAAAAAAGAATTAAGTATTAATGAAAGCTCTTCAGCCACTGAAATAGTAATTCTTACTTAAAAGAATATGAAATTATGATAGAAAACAACTCTGTTTTTAATTCTTTGTAAGAATATTGTGTAAAACCCAGAGAAAAACACCTTACTTTTTCAAGAGAAGTAAAAAACTATTTCTAAGATCTTTTTTTTTTTGCATTAACTGCTGCAGAAGAATGAGATAGAAACTGTTAAGATATGCACTACTGTATATTCTCTATTAAGACTTTCTCTCTTCAGAGTCTTGATATTATAGAGAATATAAGTCTGTTTCTATATGATAATATAAATATTGTCAGTGGAATGTAGAGGAACTGGTTATTTATATCTCAAAATAGAAGACTTTGTCAATGATTATATCAATATAGAGTTAATTCTCAAATTTAATAGAAATCTAGTGTTGCTGTTCTCAATCTCTTGCAGAATCTATTGAATATTAAGATATTAAAACTAGATTTAATATATCTCACTGTGCAGGGATCAAAGGCTCAGTCAGACCTTGAGATATACTGATTTTATAGTTGTTGATATGCTGTTGACTCGTTGTTCACTGATTATGTATTGAATACTGTTGTCAAGGTATCTTTTTGTATCATTCTGCTGGGGATGGGCCAGATTGAGAGGGGTAGTACAGGGGTGAGACTTGGTGTTGAAGTCTAGATACACTGGCGGCGGACCGTGGAGGTTGCACTTCAGAAGAGTCTGTTGATTATGTGCTTGATATTATCGCCGAGGTATCTTTTTGTATTTTTCTGCCGGGGATGGGCCAGATTGGGAAGGGCGGTACGAGGGTGAGACTTGGCGTTGGTGTTTTGGAACATCAAAGATGGACAGGGTTTTCGCGGAGGTCGCTCCTCGGATATCTCCACAACTACAGGTCGGGGGTCTTCCAAAATCGAGAAGATTGGTGCATATGGCTAGGTCACTTCACCTTACAATTTGTATGGCACTCTGGCCCGGGGTTGTGGTGTGGTAGGGGAGAACGGGGGATAATCCCACACAGGAGCTTCGAACAACGTCCGGTTCACGTTTGGCTGGATAACTCCACCACCACACGGGGTATGCGGTCGGCGATGGGGTCAAAATGCTCGTATGATCGAGGGCTTTTCGATGGATCTATCGGCGGGTTCTTATTCGAAAAATCGAGCGAGTTCGTGGTGGAGCGGTTGGATGGCAACAGAGTCTTGACACAGCTGAGAGTATGACAATATTCTTCTCTTTAAGAGCATAGTCTCTATACTCTTAAGATTACTGAATTAGAAATTATCTTTGTTATATAGCAACAGTTATCAACTGATTGACAGTGTGTATACTGCACATGATATAAAGAAATAAATGAGTTTTTCTGCTAACTGTGTAGATCTTTCTTTATTTATCATCATTCAAATCAAACACATGATAAGTGAGTTTCTTATATATCAATTTGAAATGTGAAAAATGTAGTTAATAAGTGACTTACAGATCTCTCAATATATTTCATTCTATATATGAAATTCTCTGCAAAAGTAATGTGTTTAAGAGACAAAGCTAACAGTAGTAGCAGAATTTTTTCAAAAAGATCTTTCTCTCTTATGACACTTTTTTCTCTCTCTTCTCTCATCTGTAATAGTGAGTGCATGAGAGCATCATTCTTGAGAGATAATAAGAAGCTTATTCTGATATTTTCTAGTGAGTAATAAACATCTTTGTGATACAGCTGCAGCCTTCATGACTGTCAAGAAAGCCAGGTTGAAGGTGACAGTATCAATGAGCTGCGGGAGCATTACTTTCATTGCCACATCTTCTCCTGCTTCTCTTGCAGCCGCGGTGGTAGTTGCTGTGCCTTGCAGTGAGATGTTGTCCCTTCTGCTGACTAGTGTGTCTGTGTCTGATCTGTCCCCTGCCCCTCCCATCATCATTGTGACGCCGCCTCCCCCCCCCAGCTAATACAGTGGTGTATAACCCCATGTGATCATTCAGAGAGGAACCCGGAAAGAGCTTGATTCTGAGAACAGTGACTCTGAGAAGCTCAATCTGTAGTTTCTCTTCTGCAGCCCGCCTGAGCTCTGCTCAGAATACTGCTAAGTTAAGTCTGCAGAATCTTGTGATTTCTTCATCTTCTCTCTGTGAGAAGGCTTCAGTGCAGTCTCTGACTGACACTGTTACTTGTCTGCACTATATCAAGCAGCTGAAGAAAGAAGGAATTTTATATATCTATCTCTTCTTTCACTTTTATTATTTCTGTTATATCTGTAACAATAACTTCTATCTCTCTGTAAGTATTATCTACTCTATAAGAAGACATCATATCAGCTCTGATAAGAAGCTCAGATGCTCAAGTAGTACAGAGTGAGAATCTCAGAGCTTTAAGTATTGATAGATTCTATCAAGACTGAGAAGATTCTTCTTGCTTATCTGTAAAAGAAGATAAAAGTGTGAATCTCTGAGATAAAAAAACATCTCAGAATGACTAGTTCTAAGAAGAGATTAATCAATACTACTGTTAAAAGTACTATAAAGATCAATCACTGATTAAAGAGAATCTCACTTTAATTAAAGTAGACAACTGAGATACTTTATAAATTAATAAGTTGATACTTTAAGTATCTCTTATACTCTTCTACAGCATGCTTCTCTACAGTACTGCAGTACTAACTTCTCAGCAGACAAAGATATCAGTATCAGAGACTTCAATGATGAAGAATAAGTTTGATAAGAGTGTAATTATTGATAAGTAAACTCTGAAATTCTCTCTTTTTACTTTTTCAGCAGGCTGCAGTCTTATTAGAATAGCAGCAGCCTGTAGATTAATAATATTAATCTTTTTATTAATTTCAAATATTTCTTTTCTTTTAACTGCTTCAGAAATGTTATACTTATATAGTTTTATTAAACTTCTAAAAACTCTTTAAGAGAAAATAGAAGAAGAGTGCTACAGAGTCTATAAGACATCAGCTTATTATTATAAGATTATCTCTAAAAAACTCTTTGAAAAAAATAAGAAGTTTTAAACAGTATTTCTTACTCAATATCTCTGATATATAATAGAGCAGTCTCTACTAGCTATCTTATAGCTTACAATCTCTTTCTCAGCATTTTTCAAATACTTAAGTAATTTTCATGAATTCTCTGATAATGAATATTCTTCTCATTTAATAAGATATTGAAGCTTGCTGTAATATATTCACTTATTCAATATTTTCTTCATAAGATATTCAGTATTACTCTCAATCTCAATATTATTCAGCTGAGACAGCTCTGCTCTGAGATATTACTTATAGAGCTTTAAATAGAAAATGTGAAAAATAGAATGAATTAATTTCAATTCTGTGAATAATTTTAACTTATATATCTGCTTACTTATCACTCTTATTACTGAGAAAGATTCTAGTCATCACTCACTGAGCTTCTTATATAATCTTATTATCTTGATATTCTTTGCTGAAAGTAGCACTTAATTCTCTATTAAGAACTTTATTAAAAGATGTTTTTAATTATAGTATTTCATCTGCTACTTCTAAGTGCAGTAGATACTTTTCACTGCCTTCTTATAAATTTTATTCAAAAGTTTCAATCTTGCTTTTACTTCTAATACTGAGAAATACTCTGTTCTCTGTATCTATCTAATATTCTGACTATCTATCTCTCTCTTTGAAATATTATCTGTGATGTCACTGAATAATGAAGAATTATATTTATAATAAGTATAGAAAGAAGATATCTTTAAGATTGCATTCTTTATATTATTATATATGAATTCAGTGATTAGAAGATGTTTAAGTCAATCATTCTGATAATATGAATAGAATGCTTGAAGATGCTGTTCTAGTGTCTGATTCTGACATTCAGTCTGATCATCAGTCTATAAATGAAATGTGATACTGAGAAGATATTTTATTATAAGATAATAGTAAAAAGCTGATCAGTATTTACTGATAAAGAGAAATTCTTGATCTGTTATCAATGATTTCAGAGCACTGTGATCATGAATAATGATATCTAAAAATAGGTCAGTTAATTCAGAGGCTTTAATCTTTTTATAAGTAGAAATATATCTGATTATCTTCATAAAGTGATCAACAATGATCAAAATTGAGTCATATTCTTTGACTCTTGTTGACTTCAGCAGGTCAACTATGAAATTCATTAATAGATTCTATCATAAGCTCTTTAAAACAGGCAGTGATATCAACTCACTATATTACTTATACTGTGAGATCTTTATTCTTTGACAGATATTGTAAGTCTTAACATACTCTTTGACATCTGTTCAGAGCTTATCTTAAGTATATTTATGTTTTAGAAGCTTCTCAGTCTTCTCTAATCTAAAGTGCCCTGCATGAGAATCATTATAATGAATTCTCAATAACTTCTAACACACTGCTCTACTACAAGAGATGAAGACTGAATTATTCAGCAGTAGAAGTTCACATTCTTCTAGTTATCAGTGACTTGATTTCTTAGCAGTATCATCTCACTCAGAGTCTGTCTCTTTCAAGTTTAAACTGAACTCTTTCTTCTTCAACTTCTGAATTCAAGCTGCAGTAGAGATGTTCTTCTTCTATAACTTATCAATAAATTTCTAAAGTAGTCAGATTGAAAGATTGTAGACTGTTTCATTCTTTACTAATTCAATGATTGTAAGATATAATATAAGAAGCTTATAATCTTCAGTGTCAGTCTTCTGTGAGAATCTGAGTTTTCTTTTATCTTCTATACTGAGTCATGCAGCTGTCTCTCTGGTGCTGTTTCTGAGCTTCAGAGAATCTCAATTCTCTGCAGTCAGCTTCTTCTGCAGTGATGACAGAGATTCTTTTATAGAATTCTTCTCTGTATTAACAATATTATAATCAGGCTGTCTAGACAGTGTGTCAGCAGGGTTAAGCCAATCTGAACAGTATCAGATATAGAAATCATACTCTGAAAGCAGCTCTGCTCACCTGGCTTGATATTCTGTCAAGCTCTTTGTTATCAAGAAGTAACACAGATTTACATAATCAGTGAGAACTTGCACTGAGTACTTACTACTCTGAAGATAATGTTATCAAATCTTAAAGAATTTAATAATTACTAATATCTTCTGATTATGAGTATTATATCTTCTCTGTATAAGTGATAACTTCTTGAAGAAGAAGATCACTGATCTTTATTTACAGTGTCTTATAGACTCTGTGAAAAAGTCTTCTCTTACAGATAATTCATTATCTGTTTCTTCAGAGATAATTATTCTCTGATTCTTTCAATATTGAAAGATCTTCAGTGTCAACTGTGAAAAGATTTCACAGATCTCATTCTCAGATATATCAGTCTCACACTGACTGAGTAAGTCAGAATTAAAGTGATTCAGTATTATAATATCTGTGAAAGCTTGTTTCAATTCTGCGAACACCTGCACAGTGTCTTGAGTGAGAATAAACAGTTCTGTTTTTCTGTCTTTCACACTTCTCTTTAACAGATCTGTAACAGAGGCAGTAATTCATGAATATACATAGATGAATTATCTGTAGAAATTCACAAATTCTAGAAACACCTGCATCTTGTGATACATTCACAGTACTGATCAGTTCTCAATAATGAAGATCTGACTTCTGTTCATTGAAATGTTATTTATCTTAATAATATAATCTAAGAAATCAATCTTCTGTATGTAGAATGAGCATTTTTCAGTGTTTGTATAGAGTTGATACTGTCTTAAGTGACTCAACACTTCTTGAATATGAGTATTGTATTCTTTCTCTGTTTTTAAGAAGATTAGAATGTTGTTCAAGTATACTATACAGAAGACATTAACAAGATCTCACAGTGTCTCATTTATATAGATCTGAAAGATGACTGAAGTGTTACAAAGATCAAAAGATAAAACAAGATATTCAAAATTGCTATACTTGGTATAAAAAGCTGTTTTTCAAATATTGTCTTCATTAACTCTGATTCTATGATAGATATTCTGTATATCAATCTTTGAGAACATCTTTGCTTCAGATAATTAATTAATCATCTCATTAATTAATAGTAATGAATAGTGATTCTTAACTGTCATCTTATTAAGACCTCTGTAGTCTACACATAGATGTAGTCTATTATTCTTCTTAAGTACAAAGAGTATAGATGTCTCTGCTGAACTCTTTAATGAATATATTCAGTTCTTTGATTGCACTTCTTCAAGATATTTATGCAGAACATTCAATTTCTTTACAGACAAGTTGTAAAGAGATCTGTACAGTGCTATTACATTGTCTTCAAGATAAATCTTATATTATATCTTGATATCAGAAAACTTCACTGCTTTCCTTTTCAAAAAGACATTCTTAAAATCTGTAAAGAGACATTGTGTACATTCATCTTCAATGATAAATACTGCTACTAATCTTGCAGTGAGAGTAATGACTTTTTCACCTGTTTTCAAGTCTTAATCACCTGCTACACAGTATATCAACTCAATCTTTTTCTCAAGATTCTTCAGATGAAACTCTTCAGATTCCTCTATTACTGTCTCTTCATTAGTAAGATGATATTATCACATCTGAGTGGCTCAGTCAATAAGAGAATTGTTTTCTCTCAATTATAAGAGATCTAGAATGACATTCTCATCTATAATATTAACTATGTGAAGAAGCAGACTGCTCTTCTTGAAGATTTCTTCTGAGTCTGTGATTATATACTTCACTTGAATTATGTCAAAACAGTGACATTTTATTTCATCAGTAAATTTCACATGATCTGACAGATCTATCTTCTTTCAATTCTTCATCAAAGAAAAGAAATAGAATATGAAGTTGATATTCACTCTGAAGTCAAGTAGACATCTCACTGATATCTTCTTATTCAGAGTATACATAATAATTGTAATATGAACTTAAAGATGTGAGAATTGTTAATTCTTTTCTTTCTCTTCTTTATCTTCTGCAGATATGTTTGT